GAGACACAAGCAAAATTACATGGATGTCAAGCGAGATTTCACCAGCGGTGCAACTTCGTGAAGGTTATGTAAACTTGAAACGAGGCAGTTTGTAATTTGTTTGGATAATCAATATTTCCAGCCCCTAAAAGGGATTTTCTCCCTTGACCACTCCCCCTTCCGGTTGCCAAATGTTGCTTAGGGATCGGCAGTAATAAACTTATTTCTTTCTGTTAAATAAAAGAAACTCCAGCCTGAGTCATAAACAAAGAAGCCCTGGGCCTAAGGTCCCCAAAACGAAAAATCCATCGGGCAGTTTGACTCTCAACCCAAATGAGATTACCTCGCTCCACACTAAATATTTTTCACATATTTTACTAAACCTTGTTATTAGAGTTCTTTTTAATTAACGTTCATTGTATTTCAATTGTTTAATCACGGCGGTATTCTCATGAGGAGAATAAATATATTATATCACTTTTAGAGAGTAGTTTTTATTCTCTAGAAGAGTGAATTTTGTACTTGAGAAAATCGCCGAAAATCCAATATTTTTCTGCCTCCAACGCTGGTTGAACTCCAACTTGCGCTTGGTATTTACCTGATTCCGAGGGCCTATGTAACGGAGGACAATCGGTGCTGACAATAAAGACGTTGGACGCGAGCTCGAGGTATGTACGGGCCACTGCGTCCTCCCTCTCAAGAGAGAGGAGTAAAAAATAAAAGGAGTTGTGCGACAACCGGACGAGCGTCAGAGACGTAATCTAGCAAGTTCCAGGAAACCAATCTTCTCTGATGAAAATACCGTCTCTTGTCTGAGGCGCGCTAACGTTACCACAATCTTCTCCGTTTATTTTTTTTTTAATTGTTCTATTTGGAATGCCACCACTGTGTTTGACCTTTGTGAAGTTTTGATAGTAGACAGTTTATGTGAACACAAGTTTAACTGAAAACCAACTTGGCAATTGAAAGTTTTGTTCTATTTTAGTTAAAAAGTCACTTTTAATTAATGAAATCTGTTTTCATCAGCTCCATTTATTTATAATATAAAGGATTTCAATATTTTAACATGTTGGATAATCTCTGTTAATTTCTTTTTTCTATGTGAATGCATCCAGCGGAAAAGTTTAACTTTGCGAAAATTTCTCGCGTGTGAACGAACAAATATAACGAAACCCAGCTGTCAAAGTTCTTTCTACTTATACCTCAGCCGTCAGTAAAAAAATCAAACCTACAGTTTAGCTCGTTTCATATTTACTCGAGTTGACTTTCACCACTTTCGCCCGTACCATAATCTCTGTTTACTCAAAATTTTCAACTAAAAATTCAGATTATTAAAAGCCACCTCTCAGCACGTTACAATTCAAGAGTTTGGAGTGTTGTGGGATCTGCATTTAATCACTTACCAACAACTGAGAGATTGTAACGAATACTTCGGGATTGGCCCTGACGGAAGTCGACCCGGCATCTGTAGATTGCGGCATCGTGACGTTTAACGTTATCGACGACTAGAACTGCTGTGCGGGTCATTGGAGTTCTAAAGAAAGCACGCGGACCGAAGACTCCGGTGTCCGAGGAATGTTGAGCGTCGTTCAGTGCTTTGTTCCTGACGTCCACTCTGTAACAATCCCAAAAAGATTTTCGGTCAACTTTTGATAATCAAAAAAACCTAATAACAATAATAATTCTAAAAATTAACACTAAGATAGCCTAAAGTTACACTAAGATCCCTCCACCTGGAATGATTCGGATCAAATTATTTCCACTCTAATCAATTATTTTGACTGCCCCTATTTATTTAGATTCTAATCAATTTTTTTTGTCGTGTAACATTTTTAATAATTCTATAAATCATGGTTTGTGACTGAAATGGAGTCAATAATAATCAATCAATAATACAGCTGTCAGTTCGTCCCTAGCGTCATCCAGCTGAATTTTTCATGAGATCTGGTGTATTGTTGCGTCAATATTATGTATATTACTTGGAGCATTGACGAGGTTGCGAAGGGCTCGATAAGGAAATGTATATTTTTCAAGCGTAAAATTCTCGCTCCGCGAATCCTCGCCTGATCTTCCTCACTATATTCTTATACATATATAACCACATTGTATGTAAATAGACACAAAAGGTGAATACGAAATCGATTGTCTGTTTTATGAATCGTTTTATCTCTCAGCACAGTGCGCTTACCAATATTTCACGCGATTCCCTCTCGGCCCACACTGTTCCCTCATAAAAATGATACACGCTCACGGCCAAAAGGGTAAATAACAACCGAATAAATGTATAACCTCTTGTGCCAATACCCC